CGGAAACTAGTCACTGAAGTGATTCTTCCCCTGTGATATCTCTGGTATGTCTCAATCATAAATAGACATTTGTCTTCTCATTGGGACATGTCTTTCTTAAGGACAGAGACTCTACCACTTTTTTAACTACAATTTTACTAGCCTATGGTAGATGTTGGGTAAATGGATGAATAAATAAATTTCAGCTCTTCAGAGGCAATCAATTCCACTCCCAGGAATAATCTAAGAAAGATCTGCAGAGTCCTTTGTACTTGCCCAAAATGAATACAGACTTCACTGTTGACTCTAGGGTGGGTTCAGTCATCTAGGGATCCTCAGAATAGAATAAAACAAAGAAAGCCTCCCCAAACCAGCCTGGTCTGGACTCTTGAAACTGCAATACCCAGTCTGTCCACTGACTGGACCCTTCCACAAAGTGGTCACAGCTTAAGCAGAACAAGTGTCAAACTGACCTCTGGGTAATTTCAATAAAATGGGCCCAGTAATTGATGCAGTCAAGGGCTTTTCCATAGAACTCTGAAATAACCCAAAGGCAGAGCCACCATGCAAAGAAAGCTCTAGAAATGAAGCCCTTGTTTGTGTGAAATCTGAGAAGCTCTGAGGAAAGTCCTCTAATACAAAACATTTCTAATGGCCTGTCATACATTCGAAATCACAGTATTAATGCTAGGGCTTTAGGATTAGATAATCTGTGATACATCCAGAAACCAGTTAGGCTTTTTGACCATGAAAAATGATTGAAAGAGATGATTCAAGAATGTCAATCCTTCTAATTTTTAGGTAAAAATTAATAAAAATTTAACACATATACCTGTGTTGTTTTTTTTTTAAATCTACTAGAGGATTTATAAAGTTCAGATTTAGCACAACACATACTTTTTTTTTCTTTTTTGGAACTTTATCAAATATCAAGGAGTTGTTTTCTTGGTTATGGATACATTAGGTTCTATATCTATCCTTTCAGTAGTAGCATATTAAAGCTAGTAAGCCCCACTCCTCACTTACTATTTAAGAAGAAAGGAAACTCTTGATTTACTTTGATGAGTATAAAAGAATATAAATTCATTATACAGAATTCCAAATATGTAGAAAATTCTGAAGAATAGCCAAGAGGTTATCTCTGTTGACTTTGATGCATGTTTTTACAGTCTTTTACATATTTCACATACATATATGCATATATAATTTTTTATAAAATATAATCTACATCTCTTCGCATGTTTCTTTCTTCCTATTTCTTCATGTCTTTTCCATTTTCTCTACTTTCAGAGCCTCCCATTCTGTGTGCATCCCAGAATCTCTCTTTATGCACCTATGCATAAGTCTATCTGTTTGAGCTTTCACATAGTTCGAGAGGTCAGAGCCATTCAAACCATGCTTCTCCCCTAAGCAGTAGGGAAAGAAAGATAGATGATAAATAGGATAGATAGATAGATAGATAAGGAAGGTGAGAGGGGAGGATCTATGTGTTGTTTGTTTATGTAGATCTTTTGGATATCTTAAGTGGCTTTGTGGTCTTTAGTAGAAAAAAGTTTCCTATCTCCTCTTTAGAGTCCATAGGAACCATCACTCATCCTTCTCTTTGTACCTGTTATTTCTACATCACACTTCCTTATTTCTTCAGAAAGTCTTTGAACAGTCTCCAAGTTTAGGCACAATTATTTGCATTGACCACAATTTAGATTGGCTGTTTCTACACACCCTCTAGGGGAGCTCCTTCATTTCCTATTTCCTAATCGCTCTGTGGTTAAGTATCCTATCGCAGGGCTAGAAGGAACTCTGAAGTACATTCTGTTCTGCTTCACAACTCTTCCCTTCCCTCTAACTTGTGCTTCATTCTGTGTCTGAATTCCTTGCCAACAGGCTTCGTTGGTGGCCATCCAGCCAAAATTGGCCATCTCCAATGACAGGAAGATCACTGCCTCTTGACGTGACCCAGACCATTTTCATAAATGGGGAGGTGGTCCCTAGAAAATAGTCAAGTTAAGGTTATCAGCAGGATAAAGGAATACTGGGCAATTCAACCACCCTTCAATTAGCTCAACTGGGTATTTTATGTTATCCTATGGCTATCCCTATTAGATATGATCTTATTAGAATCCTTTTAGCAAGATATTTTAGGGATCCTAATTCTATCAGGCAGTGCATTCATTGTTTCTCTTATCTGCATGTATTCCACAGTGTGATAAATGTGCCTTACAAATTGCACTCAGTGAACACATTGTAAATATATTTATATATATTATATAACCACATGATATAACATATAAACAGACTATGAACACAGAGCTCCTCAACCCACCCCCAGGCTCTTCCTTCAGAAGTGATACCACCGGCATCTCTGGATGTGGTCATACAACCAGATACCAGGCCCATCTTTGTTAAGTCTGGGCCCTATTTCTTTCTTTCTTTCTTTTTTTTTGAGACAGAGTCTCACTTTGTTGCCCAGACCTAGAGGAGATTGGCCGTGCGTCAGCCTAGCTCACAGCAACCTCAAACTCCTGGCTCAAGCAATCCTACTGCCTCAGCCTCCCAAGTAGCTGGACTACAGGCATGTGTCACCATGCATGCCGTGAATTTTCTATATATATTAGTGCCAATTAATTTCTCTCTATTTATAGTAGAGATGGGGTCTTGCTCTTGCTCAGGCTAATTCCAAACTCCTGACCTCGAGCAATCCGCCCTCCTCGGCCTCCCAGAGTGCTAGGATTACAGGCGTGAGCCACTGCACCCGGCCTGGGCCCTATTCTTGTGCCCAAAGATATTAGTGAGCCATCTTAACAAAGTGTCTAGACTGCTGGGTAGGTTTCTAATGGAGAGTTAATGTTCTCCTCAAAGTATGGACTCTTTATCTAGTCATCATCTAAGACAGACTTTTTTTCTCTACATGTCCCAGATTTCTAATGCTTTCTAAACACAATAAAAAATTTTCAAAAGTAGCAGCAGTAGTAACAAAGTATATATACTGCTTATTATATGCCAGGCCCTGTTCTGAAAGCACATAGGATTAAATATTAACTCATGTTTCCCTCACAACAAACTTATAAGCTAGGTAGGAATTGTCATAATCATCATCATGGCCATTTTAAAGAAGGGGAAACTAAGGCTCAGAGAGGGAAACTGGCCCAAATTCACACAGCCGGTCAGTACAAACCTGCATTTATACCCACGTTGCCTGGCTCCATAGTCCTTGCACTTATCACAGAAGTGGCCTTTGATCCTGACACCCCTCATCGCCCACTTCCAGCCCCCAGGGAAACATGCAGGTGCATCTGCTTTAAAAAGAAATTACTATGGACAAATTAGGGAGCAACCACTCACTTTACAAAACAGTTTGTCATCACAAATGAATCATTTGTCAATAACAAGTTCCTCCCGGGATAGGTCAACCAGTTAAAGTTCATTAATGACATCCCAGAAATACTGGGATACAGAAACCAAGCCAAGGCCAGGCGCAGTGGCTCACGCCTGTAATCCCAGCACTCTGGGAGGCCGAGGCGGGCGGATTGCTCGAGTCAGGAGTTCAAAACCAGCCTGAGCAAGAGCGAGACCCCGTCTCTACTATAAATAGAAAGAAATTAATTGGGCAACTAATATATATAGAAAAAACTAGCCAGGCATGGTGGTGCATGCCTGTAGTTCCAGCTACTCGGGTGGCTGAGGCAGGAGGATTGCTTGAGCTCAGGAGTGTGAGGTTGCTGTGAGCTAGGCTGATGCCATGGTACTCACTCTAGCCTGGGCAACAAAGCGAGATTCTGTCTCAAAAAAGAAAAGAAAAAAAGAAACCAAGCCAAAGTGTTAGGGCTATTTCCAACTAAAGATCAATGAGAACTGAAAGGATCTCTGGCATAATGTTCACATTAGTAGAAAAATACAACTGAAAAAACTTGTCTTACAAACATGTCTTTTCCCTGAACAATGGCTATGCTTAGGAGAAAAAAGAAACATGCGTGTGAGAAGTTGTGTAAGCAGAGGTGCTTAGCACAGCCTCTCACCAGGGTCTCCCTGTGAGCTCAGCCTCTCAGGCCTTCCTGTGCTCCCTTGGACTCACGGACCCACAGTGCTGTTGTTGCCTTTGACGGTGCTATTAGTCAGTTCAATCATGCACAAAGGTGTAATACAGGTGGCTATTCAATTCAAAGGAGCTGCATACAGCTCTGTTTCTTCCGGACATTCCATCTCATGACGCTCCAGGTGGTTGAAATGAAGGTGCTTTCATGCAGTGACAACATGCAGAGATGAAGCCAGGTTGAAAGAACACAGTAGGGACATTGAAGAACTCCAGACTAACACCGATGAGAAGCCATTACCACCTGTGCAGCTGAAGGAATGTGGGAGGGGACAGTGTTATCAGGAGCCCAACAAGAGCAGAGGAAGAGCATCCCGGTGGGAAGGAGGCAGCTACTGCTAAATGCTGCACTAGGAGAGGGCAGGAAGAAGTGCCCCGTCTCTCTCCTCCCCCCCAGCCTCCTGCCTCTCACAGGCAAGAGAGAGGGTGAGGGAGCCCAGGGGATGCAGCCAGGAGGCTTCAGCCCTCAGGGCACAGAGCAGGGCAGGAAAGGGTGGTGAGTACATCTAGAGGACTGAGGATGATTGCTCTTCATGCAGAATCAACATCAAAGGTGGGTAAACTGAGTCACTGAGAGGAAAAGTAATGTTTCAGATCAAAAAGGGCAACCCAGAACCAAGACGAGGGCCCACTTCCCTCTCCAGTCTCACTGATTTCTAGAAGCCTGAATGCCTGGAGAGAATCATAAAATCTCAAAGGGCATCTAATGCCTCAGGCTCCTTTGCAGTATAGTTGCTGTACCAATGGCCCACAGTGGTCCACCTTTCTTCAGAAGTGGTGAGACTGTGCGAGATCAGGATGATTCAGTCTCCTGCCTGGATTCACTAGAGAAGTTTTAGTGAATCACTTGTGTGGGTGATGACTTGGGTGTTGTTATTTTTTCAGTGAACTCGCTCCACACGGTAACATTGTGTCTGTTTGGTGCACAAAGGTGACTCATCTGAGGAAGTCGACCTGACTATGGTTTATCAGGCAGCATCTAATGGAGATGTCAATGCTCTGACTGCAGTGATTCGGGAAGACCCTGCCATCCTAGAATGCTGTGACAGTGAAGGTGAGATATTTATGCATTTCGAATCCAGAATGTTCTGTTCTATCGTTTTAGAGATGGTGTTCAGAGATGAGCAATGTTCAGAGATGAGCAGTAATATATGACCAGCCACTTTGATACTGTAGCTAGGTACAGATACCTCAGTATTTCTTTAAATAAGAGTGTTGAACACAACACTTCAAAATCTTTCCCATCATCTCTTCTAATGAAGTCAGTTAGCTTGAGTTTATTTCCAGTATCTCTGAATGACCAAAGTAGGTAGGCCAACTAGTTAGAAAAGAGTATGGAAAGAACAGGCTGCTCTTGGTAGCAATGGATGTTGAGAAAATGCAACTGTTAAAGGCTTCCCAGAAGCAGAACATAGACTTCTGCTTCTGGGAAGATGAAGTGGATTTACTTTTCCCCTAGTCTTTCTGCTAAATATAACTAAAAACCCTGGACATTATATAAAAATGTAAAAGGACTCTGGAAGATGGAGATAAAATGACAGGCTGGGACCTTGGGACCCAAGAAATGACACGGTGGTGATTTTTCTGAGTTTTCTTTTTGCCTCTTGTATCCCAAAGTAGGAGCTGAAGAAGCTGGCAACCCAGATATGCCAACAGGTACAGATCAGAGAAGCCTAACAAAAGCTGGCTCTCTGCAGCCAAAGGACCAGGAAAGGAACATCCTAGTAAGACAGAAAACTTTTTAGCCAATAATATCTCCACTCCAGCCAAATACCACACACACACACACACATATAAAAACATGGCCCCAGCCCCACCCATTCCTGCAAAGACCCAGGGGGGAGCCTTGACCTCCACTCCGACCTGGCAGGAATGGGGTACCCCTCCCCAACTTGCTGGATGGGGTCACAGAAGGCCTTGTTGAGAGTTAGGACTTTCCCGACCACCCAGCTGTAATGAGGAGTCCCTTCCTCAGATGTCAGTGGAAGCCACATAGGAAACCTGGACTTCTCATCCCACCTTGCAATAATGAGGTGGCACTTCCTTCCCTTCTCCTTTGGAGTAGTGTCAAAGGAAGCCAGCTAAAATAGACAGTTTAAGTAAGACCAGGAGCCTCATAACATGATAACCAAGAAGTCCAAGTTTCAATAGAAAATTACCTATACCAAGAAGCAGGAAGCTCTAAAACTGAATGGAAAAAGACAATCAATGGATGCCAACACTGAGATGATGGAAATGTTAGCATTATCTGACAAAGATTTTCAAGTAGCCATGACAAAAGTGCTTTAGTGAGCAATTGAAAACATGCTTGAAACAAATGAAAAAAATTAGAAAGTATCAACAAAGAAATAAAAGATATAAGGAAGAGCCAAATGGGAATTTTTAGTAGTGAAAATACAGTAATCATGATTTTAAAACTCAATGAATAAGCTCAGAAGCAGAATGAGGCTGCTGAGGAAAGAATCAATGAACTTGAAAATAGGACAAAAAGAAATATCCAATGGGAAATAGATAATCTGAATAGCCCTATAACTAAGAAATTGAATTCATAATTTTAAAATTCCCCAAAATGGACATCTTCAGGCCTAGATGGTTTCACTGGAGGTTTCTACAGACTTTTAAGGAATAATTAGTATTGATTTTACATAATATCTTCTAAAAAAAGAAGAGGAGAAAATACTTTTCAGTTATGTTTATGAGCTAGTATTACTATGATATGAAAACCAGACAAAGATGATATAAAAAAATAAAACTACATACCAATAGTCCTCATGAGTATATATACAAAAATTCTTAATAAAATATTAGTAAATAGAATTCACTAATATATAAAAAGAATTCTATACCATGACCAAGTAGGGTTTGTTCTAGGGATATAAGTCTGGTTCAATATTTGAAGGTCAATGTAATTCACCAAATTAATCAGCTAAAGAAGAAAAATCACATGTTCATATTAATTGATACAAAAAAAAGCATTTGACAAAATTTAACACACATTAATAATAAAACATCTCAGAAAAATAGAAATAGATTGGGCATAGTGGCTCATGCCTGTAGTCCCAGCACTTTGGGAGGCTGAGGCAGGAGGATTGCTTGAGGTCAGGAGTTTCGGGATGCAGTGAGCTATGATGGTGCCACTGTATTCCATTCTGGGTGACAGAATAAGACCCTGTCTCTGAAAAAATATAAAATAAAATAACCAGAAGAATTTGGACACAAAAACAGACACACAACACAGGAAGATGGCCATGTGAAGACTGAGGCAGAGATTAGAGTTATTGGCATTATTGGAGCTGCCACAAGCCAAGGAATACCTTGGAGGTATGCAATACAATGGAGAGTCAGGGAGGTGTTCTCTGAAGAAATTTACCTGTAAGCTAGGATCTCAAGATAGATATAAATTAGCCAGAAAGAACATGTAATTTTATAAAAGTAATATATCTAGAAATTCTTTAGCTTTACTTAATGAACATTTCCGATTCACAGAGCTTCAGTAATTTTCTATTGCAGCATGTTTTTTTCTCCCAATAGTTATGAAGGAAGGAAGGAAAAAAGAACGGAGAAAGGGAGGAAGGAAGGAAGGGAGAGGGGGGAAGGGAGGTAGGAAGAGAAGATGGGAGAAAAAAAAGGAAGGAAGGGAGGAGGGAGGAAGGAAATTTTGCCACTATTTTAAGACATAGCACTTCATGGCTGCTTTTACCCAGTACAGATGCCTGAAAGAGTATTAGAAGGAGAGAGATTTGGAAGGAAATTGGGGTGCTGGTGGCAATCTTTCAGTGAGAACAGCAGTCCTGGGGTTTACCATTGTCAGGGATGTCTGAGGGTCCTAGCTTACAGTTCATCTGCAGAAGAACCGCAATCTCCACATGCATCTCAAATCAAAGGAGATCTAAACAAGTGTCAGCTGGACAAAGGGTTGTGTCTGAGGTTTGGTTTCTTTGCCAGAAAGAAAGTGAAGCACCTGGATTCTGGGTCAAAAGGCTGGCTTGTCCCAGCAGTTCTGCAAAGTTAATCAGAATGTGCAATTTCATCTCTATTTTTATTCAGGAAGAAAACACGTAAAAAACCAATGACTTGGCCTATACTGATTCAGAAAACAGGGAAGCATTTCAGTACAGGTGGCCCCTTTTAGCAAGAATTCATGCAACCCAAGGTTGGGCCACCATCGCTGCCCTTGAGCACCCACCACCTCCAATAAAAGTGTCCTCAACCCATCTGCCTGGCTGGGGCTGCTATCTGAAGGCACTCCAGATTCTGCCTTGTTCAAGCCAAGTCGGGATAAACCTGCCCCTTATGTCCCAAAGTATGCTGATCCCTGAGGCAGTCATAAGCAATTTGTTATCATCTGCCCAAAATGTTTTAATCAGCCAATTATTGCAAAATTATAAAAGATTGGGGGGAAAGGCTAGAAAAACATACAGTTTATATAAATGTAGCAACAATGGTCTTCATCTCCCTTCGGTCCCATACAGTTCAACAGCTGGATTTCTTTTGCAAAGAGCAAAATAAACAAACAGGCAAATAACGTCTGCTCGTCAATTTCATGAGTCAAACGTTTTTACAGGCTTTGGAAATGTCTCGTTCCAGGATGTACGCCCTTGATGCATGCGGTTTCTGGACGGCAAGTGGACACAGTGAAGCTGCTGCTGAAGATGGGAGCCAATATCAACATGCAGGATGCTTACGGCCGCACGAGTTTATGCCTGGCCACCTACTTGGTACGGACTCCTGTCTGTCACAGGGGCTGAGGAGCAGGGGGTGCTAACAGTGTCATTATGGGGTCCCACTTGCAGAAGAGTGTTCTTGGATTTATGCAGCTGGCCAATGAAAATAGAACTTGAAGCTTTACTCCAATCACCTTCAACATTTATACCACCACTTAGTGTTGGTTTCATGGATTTGAGTCATTTTGAGTCTTCCTAAGAATTCTCTAAGGTGGAGGTGATATCATCATGAGAGAGACATTCTTTTCTATCTTAAAAGCATCAGGATTTCCCTTGGGACATGTCTGGACACACTTGGAACTTCTAAGAATACCCTCCATAAGTGACCCTGAGAGGGTGGGAACACTTTAAAGATCCAGTTAACATTTGTGGAGTTAGATTGGTTGAGCAGAGGCTAGGGACTAAGGAATGTGGGGACAGATGGGAGCTGGGAAAAGTGGGTTGGGGTTAGGGAGTGGGAGAAACATACCAGGATCCTAAGGGGCCACACCAAGCACAGGATTCAGCCCCCAATTGCTGCTCAGTTTTAAAACTTGTAGTAATGCCAGTCCTCACCACTGGAGATTTCAGTTTGGCATTTCCCAGCATTAGAGCAAGCTTGGTTAAACCTTACTGAAAATCCTCAAGCTTCTCTCTTCTCAAATCCTCCCTAAGATCCTTCTGGGAGGCCCTAGGGCTGCCTTGGGTCAGTGTCAAACAAGTTGTAACCACCACATGGAGGTCATCACTCTCCTTCCTCTCCAGTGAGGCACACAGAAATTTTCAGCATGAGATGCTGCCAACGCAGCTTCTCCCATTTGCTGCTGCTGCCTGTGGCCGAGGTAGATTCACCATGACCCAGACCCCCTGAGGGTGACCTGCTGGAGTAAAACACTTCCCTTCCCCAAACACCACCCCTTCCTGCCATGATCTAGCATACATTGCAGTGAACCATTGTCCAGTTCCCACAGAGATTTTCTTTAGAACCTACTTTTTCATTTCTGTTTGCAGTCCCTCTTTCTCTGGGACTCACACATCTGGGAAGAGTTTTTCAAAGTGTGATCCCCAGATCTCTCTTGTGTCCATATCCCCTGGGGTGCTTGCTTCAAATGCAGGTTCATGAGGTACCTCCTGAGTCAGATACTCTGGGGAGAGGACTGGGTAGTAAGTGTTGGGGGGAGGGGGCGCGTTCTGCAATGTTAAACATTGTTGGCAGTTTTTATGCCCACTGAGTTTGAAAACCACTGGTCTGTGCGTACCAGCTGAAGTCCCATGTCTCAGACAGATATATATATGGGTGTCCTCCCAGCTGCTCCCCTGCCCTAATGACTGCTCTTGCTGCAGACATGTTTTGTATCTGGGCTGAGGAAAAGAGAAAATTAGGATCAAGGGGTGGAGGAAGGGGATAGAAGAGGTTTCTAAAGTTGTCTGCCACAATCATACAGATAGTGAAAACAAACTGTGCCTCTTTCAGAATGCTAAAATTCAAAATTTCAAATTTCTTTAGCTAGACAGCTACGCAAGGGACTAGGAAGTACTCCTCTAGAATGCAGTGAATAATAACAGGCACCCTTGCAGCCCAGAGAGGTGACACCTTTACAGACACCTCTTTCCAGGAATGCATTCTAAGGACTGCAGGAGGGGAGTGTGTCTGTAGGATGCCATGTGGCGCCACCTTCTCAACTATGCCCCTTCCTATATGGATCCCCATGGTGGGACCCCCTCCCTGGCTCTGCTGAGGCTGATGGGAAGGGGGCGTGTCCTGGGATTGCACTGTGAAGGCCCCCATTCTCTCCTGGCAATGTTTGAATTTAAGTATTAATAAGAAACTTGGCAAAAGGGCACTTAGAAATGAAATTTTGCCACAGCTCCAAACTCAGTATACAAATAAATTTATCACAGATGCATGACCTCAGGCAAATCGCTTCACCTCTTTGTGCCTCTTTCCTCATTTGTAATATGTAGTAAAAATAATATCCTAAATTCATCACAGCTATAGGAGAAACACATGTGAAATTAGCCAACATACACATAGTACGTACAAAATTCATTTGTTGGTTCTAAATAGTGACTAAGGGTTTCAGATAGTATAGTCAATGGCTTTCTGATTTTTTTTCCGAAGAAAAAAAACCACATACACAACAGAATTCCAGAAAAGGTTGCAAAACGATTTCTAAAAAATGTTTCAAAGCTTCCCCTCCCCCACAAAGCACCAAAAGATCTGCTTTTCAAAAACCATAAATCTTTGACAACTCCAAAACTTGCCCAGCATGCCTTTCTTTGGGTCTCCTGGTCATATTTTCTCCTTTTTAGTCTGAAAACTTGATGACTTAAACATTAACAACTAAAAACAGATTTAATACATTGGTAAACTATGAGTCAAGACTTGAATGCCATAAAAATGTTTGCTTAAGACTTAGATATTATTGGTCAGTTCTACAAAACCAGATTCAATATTATAACCTATTAATTTTGGTGTGCTTTTGTTGAGAGAATTTCTTTCTACTTTTCAAAACCAAAAAGTTCTTTTCTTATCATTATCTTCCTTCTTATCCATGCATTTATTAACATTTTGGTTTTTATTGCTTTCAATATTACGATCTTAGGAGGGAAAATCTCATCTTTCTCTCTTACTGGGTAATCTTGAGGCTGACCTAGACATGAATGGAGGAAGGCAGGAAGCCTGCTTCTGAACAAAATAGAGAGTTATCATAGTATTCTTCCTAATAGCGGTTTCATCTACTTAAAATTGCGTGAGTAACCCAAGTGTTTCTGGATGAATGTAGGAGACATTCTTCTCAGCATGCAAACTAAACTTGGTTATCAGTAGGGTTGCATCAGTTTAAATAGTATATGGGAGGTCTAGCCCAAGATTGTACCTGACCTTTGAAATGGGAGAGACAGTGGGAAAATAACCCAGCTGTAAGTATTGACCAAGGAGGGGACAACCATGGGATGTGGCAACATCAGGTCTCAATCTGGACAATTAGTAGACAGCAGGGAATTCATACAAGGTTTATTGGGGAATTAATAAGTGGGTAAAACACAGTGATGAAGAACCTTGGAGGGTACTGGTGATATGCCATATTTAGGGATTCAGGCTGTTAGCATCAGAAAAATCAATCAACAAAGTGGCAAGGTCCTAGCCATTGGAGTGGGGCTCAGGTTAGGCCTCTAGGCACTGGGAGGGAGACTGACTAGAATAAGCAAGATGCTGATCTTGTAGTTTCTAGAAAAGGAACTTGGAATAGAAGACCAAGACCCATTTATCACACATAGGTAGACAGAGGCATAGAGTGGAAGCTGAGATTCACATATCATATAGGAGCCCAAGTTTTAGAACTGGACCAAGTCAGACCATTGACAAACATGATTTGGAGCTAAGCCCACAGGAGAGGCCAGAGCTGGTTAATTTTGGCCCTAGGACCAGGTATAGTCTGAGCATAAAAGTAGAATACCAGTGAGTGGCCCTAGAAATGGGAAGGGGGAGGCAGGAGAGAGAGTCAGGGTCAGTCTGCATCTGACAGGGTGAAGGTCCTCCAGTAAACTTGGGAATTCGTTTACCACGAGACCTTCAGCCCTCTGCTGAGGTGTCTAAGTTGGAGTTGTGGCCCTTAACCACTTCAAGTCAAATAAAATATGTTTTCAGCCAAACCAAAGAAGGGGGATAAAACTAGAGAAAGTTTATTGGACTATGTTATGCGAGCTTGTGTTATATAATGATGTGGTTACTCTTGTATTTCAGGGTTGGCTCGAAGGATGTGTGAGTCTACTCAGAAATGGTGCCAAGCACAATATCCCAGATAAAAATGGCCGTCTGCCACTGCATGCTGCCACTGCCGAGCCCGACGTGAGGTAGGTGCCCAGGTTTACATGATGCTCAGGTTGGAAGGGACCCAACTTGCATTAGAAGGTCATCTACCCCATTCCTGTGTGGCTGATAACAAAACCTATTCATTTTTTTAAAGTTGCAGCAAACAGGACTGTAATGAAATACCCTACAATAATCTCAAACCCTAATATCATTCCCCTTTTACTTTGATAAGACCTTTGTCTTCTAATCTTTAATTTAAGAAGAAATGCTATTTGTCATCATTGGAATTCACATATTCATTTATTCAATTAATCATCCAGTCAATTATTAATTCAATAACTATTTATTGAGCATATATTATGGACCAAAGACTGTTCTAGTCCCTTGAAGTTCCACAGTAAGCAAGACAGAATCTCTGATGTCACAGAGCCTACATTCTATTGAAGGATTTAAGGGGCATACTGGTAAACAAGTAAATAAGATCATTTCCAATAGTGACAAGTGGTATGTAGAAAATCAAGCAGGGTAAAAGAGCAGTGACCAGGCAGGAAGGTTCATATCTAACCCAAAGTCACACCAATCTTTAGGAGTTGGGAGGAGGCAAAGGAGCCTGAGGCGGGGAGACTAGTAGGTTGGAAGGAAAATGACAAATGTGTGCTCCTGGAAGCTGTGTGAAAAAATAGACTCAAGTAAATTGGATGATCAAGGAGGTCACATTGGCCAGGCTTGTAATCCTAGCACTCTGGGAGGCTGAGATGGGAGGATTGCTTCAGCTCAGAGGTTTGAGACCAGCCTGAGTGAGAATGAGACTCCGTTTCTACTAAAAGTAGAATAATTAGCCAGGCATGGTAGCACATGCCTGTAGTTCCAGCTACTCAGGAGACTAAGGCAGGAGGATCACTTGAGCCCAGGAGTTTGAGGTTGCTGTGAGCTAGGCTGATGCCACTGTACTCTACCCAGGGTGACAGAGTGAGACTCTGTCTCAAAAAAAAAAAAAAAAAAAATGATACTCCTTCCTCACTCCCCCCTTCATAAAAATTTATAAAAAGGAAAAAAAAAATAAAAGAAAAGTAAAGAATTGTCTTACATTTTTGTAAGACAATTGAGCAACCAAGGAAAAAGTTTTGCCCACACCAAGGGTGGCTTCCCCATTCCTCTGTGTCTACATGGTCTCCATTCCTGTTCTTTTGAAAGCCCCTCCAAGCAGCTGTTAAGAGCATTTCCTACTATGGAATCAGTAACATTGTGGCCTCTTCTCAACTTCTGCTGTACAGAACATGCCTCTGACAGGAATTGAGCATTGCCAAGCCTAGGCCACAGGCCAGCACCATGGGAAGTGTATTCTGTGTGCCCCACTCTCTACACCTGTGTCCAGAAATGAAATCTAAAGCTCTGTCTGGGTTGAGAAGCCCAAGGCCCTAATCTTCCAAGTTGCCAGATAACCAGATCTCTTCATTTCAATCTCTTTTACAGTAAAGTAAAAGGGCTTGGGAAATTCCAGGACTATTCCCAAGGATTACCCCTTATTATCTTGGACTCTATCCAAAAATAACAGAAAAATAGGATTTATCCAAAGCCCAACAAAACAAGGATGTTTAGAGAAGAAACAGCAAGCCCAGACAGCTCATAATCAATAGACATCATGAGGGATGACTCCCTCTTTATGAATTAGGGGGAGAAAAGAAAGAATGACTTTTCTAGACAATCTACACAAATATTTAGTCACAAAAGCATAGATTTCCCAAGAGTGGTCTTTAGGAAATAAGTTTAAAATGTACCTTATGGATTGTTCTGCCTTGATTTACTTTACTTAATTGCTTTTACTTGCTTCACAACAGTCATTTCAAAATCTACTAACTGTTCTGTTGAGGGGCTGTAAGTGAAAAAAGAAAGAAAAAAATCTACTAATTGATTCTGGAAGATAAAAGCCTACTTAACTGTGGTAATAATAGCTGTTATAACAAATAAAACCCAAAGCATCAGTGTCTTAACACAATAAAAATTTGTTTCTCACACATGTAACAGCCCAGTGTAGGTGGAGGATAGATAATGGATGGTGGGTAGTGGGTGGCTCCCCGCCATGTGGACCCAAGCTTCTCCCATTTTGTGGCTCCACAAAATCCCCCTAGGGGATTCTATGATCCCCTAGGATCATAGAATACCCTTTGTTCAGGCTGCAAATGGAAAAAGAGGAGCACAGTGGCTCCCCCTTCTCCTGGAGGATATGTTCTAAGATCCCAGTGGATGCCTAAAACCATAGATAGTACCAAACTCTATCTACACTATGTTTTTTCCATTCATACGTACCTATAAAGTCTAATTTATCAATTGGGTTCAACAAGAGATGAACAACAATAACTAATAAAAAAAATAGAGCAATTATAACAATATGCCAGTGTCACTACTCTTGTGCTTTGGGGCCATTATGAAGTAAGGTAAGAGTAACTTGAACACAAGTACTGTGATACGAAACAGTCAATCTGATAACCAAGATGTCTCCTAAGAGACTAATGGGCAGGTGGTGTAGACAGCATGGATACACTGGACAAAGGGACGATTCATCACCCAGATGGGACAGAGTGGGGCAACACCAGATTTCATCACGCTACTCAAAACAATGCACAATTTAAAACCTATGAACTGTTTATTTCTGGAATTTTTCAGGGAATATTTTTGAACCTTGGTGGACCACAGGTAATTGAAACCATGGAAAGCAAGACCACAGATTAAGGGGGGACTACTATATAAAGAAGCCTCACTCAGTTTCTTAAACTCTCAGCCTGCAAATAACACAATTTACTTCTGCTCACATTCCATTAATAAGGACTAGTCATTTGACCCTATCTGGGTATAAGGAGCTCTCAGGAATATATTTCCTGCCAGGAATCTACCTCCCAACAGTTACTCTAATCCATGAAAGGGGAACATGGATTTTGATGAAAAAACTAGCGCTCTCTGCCCTTAACCCATTATACCTGAGAGGTAAACTAAGCCTTGTAAGTCAAAATGACATTCAAGGTCAATTTGGTCAGCTGATTAGGTGCATCCTCTGAAATCATTGCAATAATAAATTGAAAACCAATCCAAGAGTACTTCCTCTCTTGTGGACTTGTATGTAGACTTGTTATCATGCCTAGAGTGCCCCAGACGCTCTAGGATCTACATTGCATTGCTAGAACTAGGAGAGCAGAGAGCTGTGGCTTCCCCTTCTCTTAAAATTGTACCAAATGACCCAGCCATCACCCTTGGATGAGTTGAAACCAGAAAAATAAACATCCTCTGTGTGCTGATGACATAGTATTATTGTCCTAAAAGGATCTTTAACTGATTCTGAAGATAAAATTCTGCTTTAGTTATGGTAATGCTAGATGCTTTAACTAATAAAACCCAAAGGTTAATTATTCCAAAATCAAAATCATTATTGCTGGTAAATGTTCCCCCACAATTAATTGGGTTAAAACCCATATAGCAAATCAACTATAGTCATGCACCATATAACAACATTTTTGTCAACAACAGACTGCATATGTGATGATGGTCCCATAAGATTATAATGCCATATTTTTATCATATCTTTTCTATGTTTAGAGACACAAATACTTATCATTGTGTTATAGTTGCCTACAGTATTCACTACAGTAACTTGCTGTAGTAGGCTATACCATCTGTTTGTGTAAATATACTGTATAATGTTTGCACAATGGCAAAATTGCCTAATTTCTCAGAAAATATCCCTGTCGTTAAGTGACACATAACTATAGGTTGGTTACCTACAGAACCTTGGGAAACTAGCTTGTCTTAAGAGTTCCCTATGAAATTACACTGTTAAAATGAGATATTTTATAGTTGTTTTATTAAGAAATGTTATGACCATGGCAGGGTTTGATACATATGAATTAAATGTTTAAGGTAGAAACTAACCAAGCCAGGCTCTGTTGCAGAGAAATTGGGCTTCAGTCACCATTTGTGTGTCAGCATGAACTCAGAATTGTTTTCTGAGAAAAAATAAAACCTGGTCTGGCTTGTAGATTCTTCCTAATCCTACAAGTGTAAGGCAGGCCTGTTTGAGCATTCACTTTGCCTAAGTGGACACAACTTCAGGCCAGCCTGGGTGACCTATAAAACATATGGGTTTGCATTTATTAATAATTTACAATGATGACAATGATAATAACATTGGCTGTTTACCATGCTCATGCTCTGAGCAAAGTTCTAAGTGCCTTTTGTGTACTACCTCATCTAATCCTTACCACACTTCTCCTAAGTAGAGGAAGTAGAATTCTAAGTAGAATTCTGTCCCCATTTTACAGATGAGGAAACTGGAGCACATGGAAAATAATTAATTAATATAATAATAATAATTATGTGAAGATAACCTGCCCATAGGTCTGCTGTGCTCCTGAGACCCACTCTTGTGGACCTTGTAGAATTTATTTTAATGGTCATATTTTATCATTAAGACCTTGACCTCCATTGAGAGGCCTTATAAGAAACAGCTTACAAAATTTATTGGCTCATTGTCAGGGTATATTTTGTTCATTATAGCACCCAAAACATCCTACATGAAAAACCACAAGAAAAATTTCTACCAAAGAAGAAATTTCTGTGCTTCTCCTGATAAATTTTTTATTTTTACTGTATGGACAGTGTGACTTAAGATCATGTTTCTCTCTTTGGGTGTTTTGAAAATTCAAAACTCAATTTGTGTTCCACCTCTAGCATACATGCATGATGCCAGGTCACATCTTCTTTATCTTGCCCTCGTTTTCTCTTTGTCTCGTTCCTTCACTAGTTTTCTTGCTTCGCTCTATGTATGCAGGTCTGTGTACATGCAGTCCGGCATCCCACCAGCGTGCACACACATTTGCTGCAGAGGTTGTCGGGGTGTGAACAGCACTCACTCCTGTTTGTGTTGACCCTGGAACACAGACTGCTGCTAGACTTCAGCACCCAATGAACATTAAACTCAACCATTCAACTCCCTCGAAACTCCCTTTGCTATCTTTGTTAGTGTGTGTATGTCTGTACTTTCCCCTACTCATAAGTAGTATGTACAGGCCACAGGGTGGCCTTGTGCTCAGGTGATCATACTGGTTTCTAAAATCTTGCTGACTCTTAGATGTCCAAACAGCAAGCTCCTTCCACCTGGTGCTCGCTGGAGGTTATACAGGGGGAAGCCTCAAACACAAGCTGCTTATAAACAGCCCTTTGCCTCCAGAAGGATTCTTGGTTCTCTGATAGAAACAACTCCCCAGCAAACCAGTCGGTTCCAATCTGCATCCCTAGCTAACCCCCCACTCAGCGGGGATGGAAGCTGACGCAGGGCTAAGTGATTTATAATTATGAACACGGAGGCACGTTGGGTTGACAAAAGCAAAGCAGCACAGGTTTCATCTTCGATTCTCCTTCCTGCTTTGAACGCTCTGCTTCTCAGCAGGTCTGAGTTTTTCTTCCTTTCAGCTCCCCACGGAGCTTTCTTGCTCCCTTGGCTGGGGCATTCAGAGGGCACCCGTGTGAAAGAGGGGGCATGATCATTAAGACAAAACTCCAAAGAGAACAGAGTTGTGTTTGTACAAGCTGAGCATGCTAGTGTTGGAAGGCAAGCAGCAATTCCCTCTGAAAGCAGCCACGGGACTCTCTGAAGGTCTTTTTTACGGTCTCCATGGCTACTGGCAGATTTTTTTTTTTTCTCTCTCTCTCCTTGCCAGAGCACCAGCAGCTCTGCCTCTTTTTATCACTCTTGACTACAGCCCAAGGGAGGAAGGAATCATCTCCCTTGGGTCCTGGTCTCTAGTTACCAGGTGTTTTAACTTCAGTGGATGTGTCCCTATAGCATGCTCTTGCATCCAGGCAGCTTCAGGGACAGGAAGGGCAGATGGCTGGCTGGGGGACCATTTCTCCCACCAGTCACTGGGACAGCCAGCTCCAGGGCTGGTAGCAGCCTGAGGGACCAGCAAAACAGAAAAGCTCACAGAAATAAGTTGTCCCTAGGATGCTTGTAGCTGATCTCTCTCTCTCTCTCTTTCTCTCTGACCCACCAATCACTTAATGGTAATCAAGGGAGATTGTTGATAAAGTGTAGGGGCCTTAAAAAAATTACTCATTATATAAAACTTATTATGACATTAAAGGCTATCCTAAGTGCTTTGTACTCATCAACTCACTTAAAGTCCCAGCAAATCTTTGGGAAGTGAGTATTACACTCTCTATTTTACAGATAAGAAAATGTAGGCACCAGAGTCTCCTAACTTGCCCAAGCTCACTAGCTGGTTGGGTAAGAGCAGGGATCCTAACAGAGGCAGGTGGGCTCCAGCCTCAGGGCTGGGTGCTCCTGCTGGGGTCCAGGCCTGCTGTCCTGGCACCGGGGACAAGGCGGGCTTCATGCTGCTGCCTCGGAGATCTGAGGACGGGAGGGAGTCTGGACCGGTGTTAATGGGGGTTGTGAAAGACTCCTGGGCCACCATTGCACAAAACGGGGGCTCGGGGAAAGCAGACCAGAGGGCTGCAAGTAGTCTGGTGACTGAGGCAAATACAGGACCGTATCTTGTGGATTACCTCTGTACCGCAGAACAGCAAGGAAGCAGCAGACTGGAAACAGGATACCTGATTTCTAGTTCGAGCCAGGTCACCGAGGCCTTATGTGATGGCCTTGCCAAGCCCTGCAGGTCTTCAGGTTCTTTGCTCTCATAAAATGAGGAAAAAAGGGTGAAGGTGAGGGTGAGGGACTTTATCTGACCATTTGTGTTCAGCTTTGAAGATCAGAGACTTAGAAATTGATGGAGTCAGGCAGCACAGACCAGCGTGCATCTGGCAAGGCCATGACAGAGAAGACATGGAATGTTAAAGGAGGCACCTGAAGAAAGTCCAGGGAAAAACTATTTAAAACTAACTGGCAAGAGATTAGTTAGCAAGAGCATAGTCCCCAGAAGAGCAGAAAAAGGTTACCACCCCTTAGCCCAAAAGTGGCAAGGAAGGGAGGTGGTACTGGAACCTTCTGAGAGCTGTGGTGGTGGCTCCAGCTGTAGGAGCCTGGGCCTTCGGTGGAGAAATGCAATCACTACCAGAAAGGGAGATGGATTTTTCCCACCTCCCGCCAGTTCTCCCTGTCCAGACCCAGTAGGAGGTCAGAGGTCAAGGGTACCTGGTTGATGCCATCCTCAGGAGTCAGCCTCAGAGCAGGACATTGCAGAGAAAAGATGCATTTGGGAGGCAAATAGAGAAATATGGCAGTACCAGGTTCATCCCACAGCCTTGGGTGGCCCACCCAGGATGTGACAAGAGGTCTTGCTTGCCCCAGCCCCACTCTAATCTGCTCAGAGCCCCTCTTCCCTCAAAGTGATCACGTCTGCCCCAGAAGATCCTGTCTGCTCGGGGTTAACTGAGGAGGACCACATTGGACCACAGCTGACCTGCCTTCCCTCCCACTCTCCCCAGCGCTTCAGACCAGTCGGGCCCTAGAGAGGAAACAATGGCCAATAATGAGAGAGAGAAGAGAGGGAAAGGAAAAAAGAAAGAGAGCAAGAAGGACAGTCACCAGTTAAGCCTTGCCCCCATCCATAAAGCATCCATAAGGAAAGATATATCCAGAGGTGAAATAATAACAAAGACAAGAATAGTGTCACCCAAAATGCAATTATTTTTATAGTGTCTTCCCATCAGACAGAGAATGCGTCTAGAATTTAGAAAGCATAAAAGAGATGTGCTACCTGCAGTGATAGCCATTGTTCCTTTAAGTTCTGTGTGCCAGGGGCTTTGTGCCTGTTGGGCCATTGGATGATCCTCAACACCTCTGCTGCTGATGTCACCCTAGGACAGGGGTCCTCGAACTTTTTAAACGGGGCCAGTTCACTGTCTCTCAGACCGTTGGAGAGTGCGCACTGTGGGCCCGGGACAGTCGGCTGCTAAGCAGGACAGGCAGCTGCTAAGCAGGACAGGCAGCTTCGGCAAAAACACCCGGAGGGCCGGATAAATGTGCTAGGCAGCCCGCATGTGACCCCCAGGCCGTAGTTTGAGGAGCCCTGCCCTAGGATATACAGGAGCATACAGAAACTCAGAGGGATCATGCAGCAGTGAGGCCAGAATCAAATCTTAGCATGATCCTGGCTCCCCCAAAAGACAGTGACAAACTAGATTTAAAGCACAGGCTTCCTGGTTATTTCCTCTCCACAGCGAATAACCAGAAGTCCATCCCTATTTAAGTTCTCTCTGTATTACATTTCCTAAGGCAGTATGATTGGTGTACCTCTCTTTTCTTCTATTGTAAGGAACAACTTAATACCTAGGGCTTTAGATGTCATCTAAGCTGAAAGACAATGAAAATTTGGGGAAAAGACTAATTTCATTTTTCAAAATATTCTTCTAAAAATAATTTCTGAATTTCTTTGTCTGCCCATACACTATTCTTTAACATCTTGCTGAGTCTGCATTGATTAATTCATTCTACACATTTCTCAATAGTTTCCAAACCTGGCTGTTTACCAGAATTCCCTGAACATCTTTTTTAATTTGTAGAATCCGGGCTTCTCCCCATACCTACTGAGATAGAAACTCTTGAGTGTGGAGTTCAGGTATTTGTGATTTTAATCTCCCCAGGCAATTCTGAGATGGAGCCAGGGTTCAAACTTCTAGGGTTAAGTGTTCTAGAGCTTATACTTAGTGTGTTCCAGGCATGTTCTAAATGCCTTATGTATATTAACTCATTTAATCCTCTGAGCCATGGGTCCTCAAACTTTTTAAACAGGGGGCCAGTTCACTGTCCCTCAGACCCTTGGAGGGCCAGGCTATAGTTTAAGAAAAACTATGAACAAATTCCTGTGCACACTGCACACATCTTATTTTGAAGTAAATAAACAAACAGGCAACAACACCCGCATGTGGCCCCTGGGCCGTAGTTTGAGGATGCTTGCTCTGAGCTATAAAACTGGTAGTTTTTACTACGCCATCTCACAGATGAGGAATCTTAGGCACAGAGGGGGTAACTAACTGGCCAGAGGTTACAGAGCTAATCTGTGCCAGGTGAGCCTAGGCGGTGTCAGCCTAGACCCTGAGTCACTAGCCACTGTGCTCAGCTGCTTCTCTCTCACAGATGGAACATTGACCTCAGTCAACCGAGCGCGGGTAAGAGTTTGAGTTTGAGAATCGTTGACAGTTCCTTCCCACTGAGTACTGCCATCTCGTGCTTACATATTTGCATATTTCACCAAGAATGAGCAAAGTTGTGCATGCTGACTACCTCCTGGTATAATCTATGCATTTAAAGGCATATGCACCTAGGAGTGAAGCAGTTTGAAAGCACTCTAGAAGTTTTTGCAAAACGAATGAAGAGTAAGCACTAGATGATTTTGGTTCTTCAAGGGCATGGCCTGGTGAATACCATAAGCCTTCATGTCCCCTGGCCCCTCCAGGAACACTAAGGTGGAGAGCAGGAGCGAGAGGCAGACAAAGGTGCGTCAAAGACGCCTTCTTACCTTTCACGCTTGCTTCTTTTCCACAGATCTTTGCCCCAGAGAATTGGGAAGAGCGCTCACCTTTATTTGCAAGCCTTCAATTTACTGTATTTCTAATGTGTCCTTATACTGGTTCCAAGGGCACCATGACTGTTCTTTTGAGCTGCTTCTCCTGTTTTTCCTTACAGGCTTCTGACAGTCCTGTTGCAACAGTCGAGCCTCAGTGAGGTTAATCACCAGGACAGTGAGGTGAGTCTGCCCCCTCAAGCAACAGGTGCCATTTTGCATGCGGGCATGGAAGGAAGGCTTTTCCAGAACCACTGTGCTCCCCTTCATAAAGCCACAAACCAGAACCACTATGTTCCCACTCATAAAGCCACAAAGACGGGGTGGAGTATATTTTTGTGTTCCTATGCTGAAAGGGAAACCTTTGTCTCCACTATTAATCCTCAGAAATTTATCCCCACCATGGGTGTGGGTAGCTTTTAATAGGGAAGGACTTTATTGCATTAAGTACTTAAGCATTTACCATATGACTGAAATTTTGTAATTTCCCTCTGGACATTGAGAAATAAATATTGCTCTCTCCTGTCTTGTCAAGTTCCAGAAACTTAGATGGCAAGCTCCAGACGTGCTTGCTCTGAGTGAGAAATGACAGAGAGCTGGGAGCAGAGGTGTGCACCTCTAGTCACTTGGGAGGCTAAGGCGGGAGGATTGCTTGAGCCCAGGAGTTTAAGTCCAGCCTGGGCAACATAGTGAGACCTCGTCTCTAAAATAAAAGAAAAAGGGAAAGGTGACAGAGAGAATAATTTCAGGCTACCTGCTCTAGATGCGACATTATTAATCCCAATGACCACAACTGCTGTTTTCTTCATGTTACAAAGACAATATTGTAGAAGGCTTCCAAAGATACTATTCCACACTCTTGAACGAAGTTTTTGAGGGAGGGTGAATTAGACACTAAGCTGACCTGCCCCAGAGTAGCTTAGGGCCTTGTTATATCTGCTTAGCTCTTTTAAAATTAAAAATAATTTTTATTGGCCAGTCTGATTTCTTTAATAAGCTTCTTAAAACCAATTTAAATGCCTGATTTTTAATGGAATTTTAAAATAAATAATATGTCCTTGATTTGGGGCATCTCACTGAAAAAGTCTGATAACATTAAAAATGCAGATTTACAAAGATGCCAACCACATTATTTTCAAGGAAGCCAGCTTGCCATAGGCAAGGGGGGGGGAGGAGTAAGCCTGCTAAGAGTTTTCTTCTGGGACAGAGCCCCATCTGTCCTGAGCTGCATTAAAGTCTTGCTTCTGCTTTAATGACCACACCAAAAAGCCCCTGCTCTACAGCCTGGGCCTGAGCTTGGACACCTCCCCAGCTTGGGGGTCACAGGCTGCTTGCACTCCCCACATCTTTAGTGGTTTAAAGCAAAACCTCAGAGGAAAGAGGATTGCTCTGTTTTAAACTTCTGCTTTAAAAATGAGAACCAGAGACGAGACAGCACACTCTGGTCACTCTCTGCCCATGGCATGAAGGCAGAGAGCTTAAGTGGCCACAGTTCGTGTCAGCAGATTGTGAACTTCTAGATTTTAGGCAAGTTGCCAACTACTTCCTCCACATCCCACCCCTGCCCTCACCCCCCAAACTGGGTCTTACTTAGAAAGCTGGCAGACTTGGTCATTCATAACCTAAAGCTATTTCCACTCATAGACATCTAACTGAACTGACATCCCCCAGCAAAGGCCTCGTTCCCTATTTTTCCCCACCCTGGGAGGCACCTAGCTGGTGGAGATAATGAAAGTAGACACAGATCTTTCTATGAGTGGTAATTGTAACACCTTGCAGATAATATGTGGTAAATATTGGAAAAGTCCCCTGTTCCTCCTCATGCAAAGTGACCTGTATGAAAAGATTTCTCCTGCTATTATACCAGCATTTGGATCCATCGGATTTTAAGCTCAGAGAGCAGATTCAGCAGAGCAGGAGGTTCAACAGGGTCACTTTCCACCCAGTGTCACAGCCCTCCCGGGTCCCTGTTACAACATGTCTGAAATCCACCTGAAACCACTGCTAGTGCTACCCTGTATTTTTCATACTATATATATATATTTTAGCATATTATGGGGGTACAAGTGTTAAGGTTACGTATATTGCCATTGCCCCCCCTTCCCTCCTCGAGTCAGAGCCTCAAGTGTGACCATCCCCTAAACGTTGCACATCTCACTCATTGTGTTTGTATATACCCATCCCTTCCTCCTCCCTCCCACCTGCCTGACACCTGATAAATGTTATTCCTATATGTCCACTGAGGTGTTGATCCGTTAATACCAATTTGCTGTGAAAAACAAGCTGTGGTGCTTGTTTTTCCATTCTTGAGATACTTCGTAGAATGGGTTCCAGGTCTATCCAGAAAAATACAAGGGGTGCTATATATTTTTAATATATAAATACACATATTTATAAATATGTGCATTATATGTAGTATTGTTAGATAAAAATTTAAGAGGCCATTGTTTTGGCCTGAGCCAAACAGACCTCCAACAGACCAGACTAAAAATCAAAATGGCATCACTCATCCTTAAGTTTCAAGTTCCCAAACTGAAACTAAGTTGTTATCTGAACTTCTGAGAAATCAGGGGAAAGATAATAGTCAAATTTCCCAAGCAAGCCAGTTTCAATCAGCATGATAATGAAATTCCCCCTGCCTTTAATCTTTACAACAAAAAGTAACCTAAAATAAACCTGACTTTGACCAGTTTACTTCTCTATTGTTCTGTTTTCCTGTTTCTACCTTTCAAGGAAAGTAACTTTGAAATGACCAGTCTGATTTTTGTTCTTTGCTTCTGCTTTATTCAGCCCTTCTCTGTCTTCAAAACAGCCTCCTCTGCCTGGTTCATTGGTACACTTATTCTATCTTTTTTTTCTTTTTTAAAATTTTATTTGTATAATTTTAAGATATACAAATGCAGTTTTGGGTAGCCATCACCCAAACACGTATTCTATTTTATGGAATGAAATGTTGCCCAATCTTAGAATTTTAAAAAAGCCAATTAAGACCTTTAAAACTAAATCTGTTGTAATTCTGTCTTTTGACAATATATTAATATATATTAAATATAAATATAAAATACAAATTTCATATATATATATATATGTCATTGCTAGTGTAAACCGATCAGAATAAATTCCCAAGGGCAAAGCTCTTGCCATTGAGAAATAAGGATACTTCTGAAATGGAACGACACGGCCCAGGCTTTCTTTTTCATTCATTGCTTTGGTGGAGTTCCTGTGTTTGGCTGCTCAGTGTTTTGAACAAGCAATCTCCTCTCTCTCCTCTCAATCATTTTTCACTGTGCTCTAAGCACCATGCAGCCACCATTATATGTGCAAAACAAACACACACACTATACCTGCTAAATTCCAGGAAGCAAAAAGAGTGAAGCAAAAAGCAATAAGGGAAAGGGTAAGTTAGTGCCTAAGAAGCATTATGGTTTCCTACTGCCAAGAGGAAAGAGCAAGGAATAGCCCTACCTAGTTTAATGAAATTATTTTCCAGGAATAACTGAAGGAGTCCCAAAATGATCACAATAATGGTTAAAGATTAAAGAATCAATTAGTAGAAATCTAACTTCATTAACAGATATATTCAATTAAAAACTGAAACTAAGGAATGGAGAGATAGAAGGAAGGAAGGAAACTAATTCAGTTTCTGAAGCCATTCTCTAACTGCTCAAGCAAAACAAACATAATCTTATTTTACGTCAGGGAGATGAATGTCACCTGGAGGATATCCTGATCTGAGGTTAGTGACTGAAGACAGCTCTTTTGTATTATTAGTTTTACTTATATAGGTAATACATGAACATATTTGCTTTTTAAAAGTTTAAATATTACAAGTACTGTTAGAAAGTCCTTAATTACTTCTACCCCACCACCTTTGCCCCAGGTAATCACTGTTTGTTGTGTCTCTTTCCCAATCTTTTATATATATTCATAGGAAATATGGAGTATTAAATAAAACATATCACTCAATATGTTTTCTGTAACTTTGTTTTTTCAATTCTAGCATACGTCTTAGAACTCTTGATACATATAGATCTGGCTCATTCCTTCTGATGGCATCATAGTGTTCAATACTATGAAAATACCTCATTTACTTAGCCATTCTCTCCCACGAATAGAGATTTAGGTCATCTCCAATTTCTCACCACCATACACAATAATCTAAAAAGTGTTTTTTGTATAAGCCTACTTGAGTACTTTATACAAGTGTTTCTCTAGAAGAAGAATTGTTGAATAGTGTACATTTTTATTTTTAATACACACTGCCTAATCATTCTCCCAAAATAGCTATATCCATTTATAGCGCCATCAGTTGTGTAAGTAGTGGTTTTCTTTTTTCAGTTGTTGCTGGATTTTCTTGTTGTTATTTGAATTTTCCTGATTAATGAAATCGAGCATCATTTCATAGAGATAGTGGTCTTTTTTATATCTTCTTTTGTGACTGGCCTGTTTACATTCTTTGTCCATTGATCTATTGGATTACTTGTCATTTTCTTATCTATTCATAGGTGTTTATTATATATTTTGAACATTAATCCTTTGTTGGGTTGTAAATATTTTTTCATAGGCTATTGCCTATTTTAGAACTGTTTGTAGTGTCTTATACAGAACTTTAAAAATATAATGTAATGAAAATGATTATTCTTGTCTGTTCCTGCTTTTGCTTTTGATGTCTTTTTACAGGCGGCCTTCCTTAACCCAAAGAACTGAATTACATTATGCTAAGTATATTTTAGCTTGTTACAGGATTTTTTAAATATGTGGTTGCATTTCTGAACTCTCTGTTCTGTTCCAATGATCTGTTTGTTTTTCCTGTTTCATTAACCACACAGCCTGATTATAAAAGGACTTATTTAGAAGCTATCCACACTGCAGAGTTTGACACTGTGGGAAAGCAAGATGGGGTCAGATTGTCCTTGGTGCTTTTGTTCTTCAAATCAGGACCTCAGGGGAAGCATTGACATAGAGGCTTGTCTATTGCAGCTACTGGGAGTTAAGAAGTTGCTGCCCAGCTGGAATCTAACCTCTCCTGCTCTCATTTTAGCTTTGACAGGAAGCACACCCCACCACGAGGGGCTGTGAGCCATCGGCATCTGGGTTAGAACTCTGAATGCTTTTATCCAGAGAAGCACTGACATGCGTGGTATTTAGAATGTATTGTTGGCTCTATATTAAATACACATTCT